TTTCGCTTCGGCTTCTAACTTCCAACACATGTTCTCCTGTATCTCATCCGTGCATTTGTAGTCTTCATTGCTGAGGTGCGGTGGTTGTTCTGATCTTTGCCAAATCGTTCCGTTACAGATAATTTTCCATGCTCACTGCTAATCGCATGCTATTATGTGCCGTCGTTTGAATTGCCATTGCAGAACAACCTTTTTTTCTTCGTAATTTGCAACTATTCTCTCTATTGATCGGAGCTCGTTAGACTACCTCCAGCCGTCAGTCATACTTCAATCTCTTGTCGGTGTGTATTGACCAAATCTCTCCAGCGCACGTTTCTTCGGCCATTTTTCCCAGAGATAAATTTTTTGCTTTTTTTCATTCTGCTCTGTGGACCGTTGAAGTGCTGTGTGTGCCATCTCCGTTCTTTCTATTTCTTAAGATTCAAGTTTTGAGGGTTCTCTATATGACACCTGGCGCGTCTAATTTTCATTTTAGTTCGTAGCAGATTCAATATTGTTGTGGAGGGAGTGTGGTTCAGCACAATTGTTTACTGTGCTTGTTTTCCGAAGCCGCTAAAAATTACTATGGTGTTCTACTAATCCACCTGTTTCGGCCGTTCCATTTCCAATATCATTAGAGAATCACTAGTTGTGTGAATTTAGGCTAGGATCAGACTCTTGCTGAGCGCTGGACTCTCAAAGTCCGACACCGGCTTTAGGATGGAGAATTGAAATGTTTGCGAGACAAAGTATATAGGGTTGAAGATCAAATTCAGAAATAGAAAAACAGCAAATTGGAAGGGTTTTCAAAAAACGGAATGGGAAATTTCCAGATATATTTGAGAAGCGGTGGGTAATCCACTCAACTAGTAACTTTCTAAGAGTAACTCACTTTCTTTTTCTGAAACTGCTCTTTCGTGATTGGTGATAAGCGTGCGCTGTTCAGTTCTGTGTACTCCGACGTGTGTCGCTCTTTGCCATCTTTTATTGATTATGTTGTGATTAGATTTTTATTCTATAATAAAATTCTTCTGCACCTTATTCGATGCAGTCCTCTTTCGTTTTCTTATTCCTCTATTGAAACAATTTCCAACATTTAATGTACGCCGTCATTCTTCATTTATCGATTGAATCGACAGCACAAAAAAATGGTAAAACCTCTTATCTGTTGTGTTATCGCGTTTATCAATGTCTGAAATCGAGTTCATTTTTGCTTATCGAGAATTTTTCTTCAGCTAGTTCATTGTTTGACTCATTTCATATATTTTTAGTGAATACGACAGCGGCGCGGTGGCTGTAGGTGATCAGCCAGTCTGCCCCTTCCTTCCATAATAGCTCTTTCCATCAAGGCTAGGCTTTTCGATTTCGGCTGGGATTGTATCACGTTCTGGGCTCGTTGAGGTGAGTATATGTTTCGTATCCATTGTTTTTTGTTTACGCGGGTTGCGCTCACAATTTGCGTTATGAAGCTCAAAGTGGGTTTTACCAGAGATAACGCCTTGCTTCTGTGCTTCTTCGCTTAGAAAATTTTTTTGAGCTCTGAGACATACAAGCGAGTTCATTATAAACCAGATATGGAATTTGGAACAGTGATTGTTTTTTTATGAGTTACTTTGTTTTATTTGCAGGGTGCCATGAATAAGCAGTTATTGTCCTGCTCTCTGAAGGGCGGTCGGCAGACAACTACTGTAGTGGCGTCAGTTGCCGCAGATGGTGTTGATCAGCAGGTAGTGATTATGTTCTGGTTCCTTTCGTGACATCGATCGCTGACGGAGTTGATTATGGATTGATCATCGACCCCGGTTACTAGACACGACCTAAATGTTGTAAACAGGCGCAAGAGGAGCAGGGTTGCTTACTTTCAAAGCTTACTTCGTTTCCGCTTTCGATTTCCGGAATAGCCCGTGGTTAAGACATCTTCGCTCCTTTCTGGATCCAGGCGTGATATTCAATTCCACATTTTGTTCCTGCTCACAAATGGCTGAAAACGAACTCGTATCGGTCGATCGTTGACCTGGTTGATTATGATTAGAACATGAGGGTTAAAAAGTGGAGTGGATCTCGGGGTATGTTGTTCAACGATGCTGAGAAGGGGAAAGCTCCGATGAAAAGTGTGAGAGGGTTTGTGCATTAGTCTGTAGTGTCCATTCTTGTTCACCGACTATAAACATCTTCAATGCCTCAGAAATTCATAATTTAAACACAGCGACTATGGCAGACACCTTTGTCGCGGGTTTTGGGGAAGCACTCTTCCTAATTAAAGGGTTGCCTCACGAAGTTTTGTATCGTAAATATCTCCGGATGAGGTAAATTTGCCGAAAAAAGTAGCCGTATAAAATTTGATTTCAATCTCTGGTCTATGTTCAGTAATAATAATAATAATTCAGGTCGAAGTTTCATATTGTGATCAAAAAGTGGTTGGAAATGGCTCCTTCGGTGTCGTATTTTTGGCAAAATTGCAAGAGAACAATGAACCGGTCGCAATCAAGAAAGTGCTTCAAGATAAACGATTTAAAAACCGAGAACTTCAAATCATGCGAAAGCTTTCTCATCCAAATATAGTCAAACTCAAGTAAGTTTTGGTTTTGTGAAACGTTTATTATAAAGTATTTCCTACACATCTTCGTAAGACCGACGTCACACTCGGCGACGGCGCTTGCCCGTCGCCGAGTGTGACGTCGGTCTAAAAGAAAGATGAACGAGTACATGATTGTTAGTTAGTTTTACCCGCAGTAATCACTGAAAAAAAAATTATTGAGCCCGCCTCAATATACGACTCAGTTCTTTGTGAGTTCTACAAATAGAGCCGTTTTGTGAAAGTCCTGTGTGGATCAGTCTTAGATTAATTTAATTCATTTCATAGTTTAGCAAATCTCATGTCTTGTGGGTGTGGATACGAAGGAGAGGGAGAATTTGATTTCGTGAAAAGGGCTGACGATATTTTCACGCAAACTCTGCATTGAGTTTTACTATTATTATTTCACGCCAACCGATTAATAGAATACTAACGTCTACCCATGACTTTTCTGTTCCAAGTGGTTTTCAAGTGCATTTCAGTGGTTTTTAAAATAGTCTATGTTTACTGTTTTATAGATATTTCTTCTATTCTGGTGGTGAGAAGAAAGACGAGCTATATCTCAATTTGATATTGGAGTATGTTCCTGAGACTGTATACAGGTAGGTCTTTCTTAGCGTTGCTGTATTCCAACAGGATTGAGGCTTGCGCTAAATGATCACATTTCCTCTAGGGTGGCTCGCCACTACTCGAAGCAACGGCAGTCTATTCCTTTAATATATGTGAAGCTATATATGTATCAGGTCAGTGACGTTTCTCAAACCCAGAATTCTTCGCGTTTTAGAAATCGAAAGTATCTTGTCACCTTGAACCTCAAGTATATTTTGTTTTAACTTTACAACTTTGTAAACTACTATTTGTCTCGAACTTGAAGTATATTTTTAGTTCAACTTTGTAATTTTGTAAATTAGTAGGCGTAAATTTTCCGCCGCTTCTACTGGTAAGAGCTTAAGACAGCGGACAGTGAGCGATTCCCATGCTATCCGCTTTCAGCTCGACCTTAAGTCGATTGGAAATATGTAGTTGTCTAATACTCACTAGCCGAATTTTTCTGAAAGATAATTATTTGGAGTGCACTTGAGAAGGCAAATTCGAAGCCATCCCTCAAACGGAGGTGTTGATCCGTATAAAAGGAACTTCAAGCCTTTCTGAATAGATAATCACCTCCGTTTGCCTAAGCATATGATTGGAGCACAATATCGTTGTTATGACCTTCAAGGCACCTGGAAGGTGGCTCTGTTGTCAAGACCTCTCAGCTACTACAAAGTCAAAATATTTGCCATAGGTTTGCCGAAGAAACTCAAAGGAAAGCATAGGGTACCATCAAAGAATCCTAAAATAGACTCCAAAGTTTCATACCCGGCGCGATAAGATCGTAGCAATTTCAAGAACCGTACAAATGGGTTAAGGAAAACCTGAAGATAGGAGAAACTGGCTGCTGGAAGAACGAGAGGTGTGAGCTCCTATAGTGTAGCCAGCAACTTTTTCATCTATAACTCAACGAATCATTTATGTTCTCTTGTCATTCATTTGATTACGATGCTGACTCTTTTCTAAGTACGCATCATTGTTGAAATCAGGAGTGCAACCTGGATTCCGATTTGTTGTTTCCTTGCATTCCCTTTTTATTGACTTATTCGATGGTCTCGAAACTGCTTGCTGTGAGGAAAGTATTGTGAGGGAAGGAGAAATATGATGTACAGGGTGGCTGAAAAATATAGGACGCTATGTTTTTGGGTGTAAAAGTCAGGGAAGACTCTATTAACAAACTTATAGAAAGATGGAGGTAGGCTATGTGATAACTAGGGCAAAGGTGCTCTAAGTTTGACGATTCTGCTTTGACAGAGGCCTTCTGACGTCCAACGACAAAATCAGCAGTGCGCCGCAGGTAGCCAACGGCGATGTCGTCCCACCTCTTCTGAAGCGCTAACTTCAGAGCACCCACCGAGCTGTAGAAGTCTTTTGAGGTCTTGCTCTCTAACATCCCCACAGGGAAGACCATCGGCTTGAAGGCTCAGGAGGAAGAAGGCCACGAATTCTTGCTCCGGTGGCCGGGAAATCGCGCATCCAGCGTATCAGGGAGCAAGTCTTTATTGGGGGAGGGGCAAACGTTCGTTGAGCAGAATGCTTATGAATCTAGAACAACATAACGTACCTCAGCATAGTCTTTTCCAAGACCGAGTTAATTTCAAATTTTCTGAAGATGAACACCAATGGACCTTCACTTTTTGATATTACTCTGTCACAAACAGCCACACCATCGGAAGAAACCTGTTGTAAAGCAATTGTAATCTGGGATTTGCACTCACCTTTTACAACGATTGTCGCTGACTGTGACGGTCGCGAAGAAGTTTGGTTCGAAAATTTCCTCATTAGCTCAAATCGTGAGAGAGATGCGGCGCGACCCGGGCTCGCGCAGGAACTTGTAGCATTTCATCAGTCGATTTGGTTCGAATTGTTCCAATAATGCAGTATAGGTAGAGATGGTAATTCTTCAGAAAAGGGTTGCTCCGCGAGATCTATGGCAGGATTCACGGCAGATCCTGGGATCAAAAGCGTTGTAACTCACGCTGGCTCCTCGTTGTGAGTGCCTCTCTTCTGGGTGACTGCCCTAGTTAGATGAATTTCGGGCTTATGTAGCTTATTAGACATCTCCAAAACTTGCAAACGGTTCCGAAACATTCTGAAAGTGCTCATTGTCAGCAAGCGATCAAAGTTGCGTCTTATACTTTTCAGCCACTGTATTTGCTCAGTGATCTTATGATTTACCTGTCATTTATATTTTTTTTGGAAAGCTGTTTAATACGTTGAAGACAGCGTGGCGCAGTTGCGCGTCCCACCCAACTCGTGCCTCTTTCTCGCACTTGCGTGACTTTTTCCCACATTGTTTGTATTCATTCTATAGGCGTATGCATAGTCGGCCGCACAGCATTAGATACATATCGATCGTCAGAAGCGCGACACTTACGATTGTTACGATCGCATGTGTCGCACGATCGATATGCAGCTCCACTGCAATCGACTTTTGAAATGCCGTGACGCGCATTCCCGTGTTGTCTAGGTTTGCATTTCGTTACCGCGTCGCCTCCCCTATGCGAGCGCGGTTTATGCGATCTTTACGATCGTTACGATCGACTATGCATGCGCTCTATGGCCGATGTCAGAGTCTGCGATTGGAGCGATCGGTCAAATGCCAATC